AGTCGGTGAAACTCCGACGAAACAGTTTGTCACAGCCCCTCGTTTGTTGTCCTCTTCTCCCTCTCTGCCTACGGGTTACCGGGCAGTTCTATTTGTGACGATATATATATATATATATATATATATATATATATATATATATATCCCTGGTTTTATCTCCGTCTATTACCCACCTTCCGGCTACTCTACCACCCCTGTCTTCACCACTCCTACCTCTCCTGGTTTTGTCTTCATCCGTTACCCCTCTTCCTAATCCACAAACCACTTCGTCCATACAGACTCCGTCATCATGTTCTGCCCCTGCAGAAAGCCTACTTCGCCGTCCTAGACGCCGGCTTCGGCCTACTTCCCAACCTCAGCTTACTCCCCTTTCCTTCATCTCTGTTCTTGGTCGAAGAAGAACCCGTTCATTCTCCCCACCACAGCCCTTCCCAACATCCCGTCCCCGTCTCTTGCCGCCCCAATCATCCTTACCACCCCCGCGATGCTCTTCGACTGCAGACCTTTCTGCAACGCGGCAAACACAAAATAGGAGGGATGATGGCGAGGGACCATCTGAGGATGAACTTGGCAACAGGACTGTAGGAGATTCTATAGAAAATCCGTCTGACCGGCCTCCACCAAATCTGTGTGGCCTCGCAGCTACTAACATCTGCTTACAAGCCTATCGTCGGGAACCATATACTCACTCTGATTTCCTGGCCATTGCTTCCGATCTTGATGCTCAGGAAAGTGAGTTACATGGCGATAACCCGACTTTGCATCCCCCGCAAGATAGTAATTACACTCCACATGGGGGATTCAATGTCTTTGTTTTGGAGACTGCTTTGATACGGTGTCGGCTTGATATGTAGCGTGCCCGTTCAGGTGGCGACCCGGGCCACTGTTCGCACATTTGTGCCTATATTCTACATGCTCCTGACCACTACACCGCTATTGTCTGTGACTCTGGTTCTTGGGAATTATGGAATGGCAGTACTATGGTGCAAACTATTACTGCCATCTATGATCTCGTGCGTAATTGCCCTAACCTGCAACTGTTCCAGGTCATTGACCCTATGGGTACATCGTGTACTTCCATGCCCGCCTCTACGCCTATCTTTGTGCCTGCCTCCGTACCTATCTCTGTGCCTGTTTTTGTGTCTGTCTCCTTCCAGATTACTGACACTACGGGTACCTCGTGTACTTTCGTCCCCACCTCTGCACCTATGTTTGTGTCTGCCTCCGCACTTTGTCTCCATGCCTGTTTCTGTGTCTGTCTCCGTGCCTACCTCCATGTCTACCACCGTGCCTGTTGTACTAACACCTTGTGACCTCCTTCTTTGTGAGATCAATGACACAATTACACTTGGTTGTGGAAAGCATCGACTTTGTCGACATCAGTACAACCGTATAATTTTTCAGGTTCGTTGTCAACAGGGATGCCACCTATATCCGGATTGTGAACATCCTCTACATCCAGATGCAGTATGTCTCATCTGTGTCTGCGGGCGCTATAGCGATTGTGCACTTAATTGTGATGGTGAACGCCCCACAATCGTCATGGCCTGCAACCGGCATGCCCTCTGTCGTGCATGCTTCAGAGGTATGGTTAATGCTAGCCGCCCTGGCTCCTGCTGTGACGAAGTTGCTTACCTGAATGTTTTTTGTCCTGTAGATCAGCGGGAGGGCTGCTACCATCGCCCGCATCCTTATGACAATTGTCCTATCTGTCATGAGCGTCTTACTTAGACGTACCTTGCACCCTAACGAAAATGTGCCGGTGCGCTGAAAAGAGTGTACAAGAATGTGCAAACGTGGGAAACCCTTCACCAAAACTGCAAAACAGTGAAAAATGCAGTAAAAGAAGAACATAACTTTGTGTAATTTTACTTTGTTTGTACCCTGCACCCTAACACCCTCGAAGGAAAAGTCCGAAGGGTGAAAATGAGAATGAAAAATGAAGAAGTGCAGGTGCACTGAAAACCGAACGTGGTAGACTCTTCACCAAAACTGCAAAACTGTAAAAGAAAGAAGAATGCAGTAAAAGAAAGAAAATATTTGTGTCAATTTTTTTATTATTATTTTTCTCCCTCTGCCTATCAGTTTTCCTTTTTTGCTCCTCTCTTCCTTGTGTTTAACACCTTTTCCTTCACTCTGTCTCTTTCCCATAGTGTGCAAGTGGGTTGTTATGGCATACGGGGATAGGGGCAGCTCGCCCTCAACTTCATCAATGTGGCGAGCCTTGTACGGTAGAGGCACGGTGGAGGAGGCGTTAAGAAGACTGAGAAACAGAATGATTTCAATGTGCCTTTGTTTTTTTATTTTTATCCCTTGTTCAGTGTATTTTTTTTTGTAAAACACTGAAAGAAATAAGAATACAGTGAAACAAAGAATAAGACGAGACTGTTTTGTGTCATTCTGGTTTGTTTGTCTGTACTTTCATTTTTCTTTTCTTCGCTCATCTTATTTCTTCTTTTACTTCACGTGCTTACGCTCTTAGTCAATAGTTCTGTGACAAAATATATATATATATGTGAAACTCCGACGAAACAGTTTGTCACAGCCCCTCGTTTGTTGTCCTCTTCTCCCTCTCTGCCTACGGTTTACCGGGCAGTTATATTTGACGATATATACTATGACTTCGCTAGCTTCCTGCTACGGTTTTCTCCGGTCAGGTCGAGCGGCAGTGGTCGGGGCCGTCACTACGCGGCCATGCTGTGCCTCTAGTGCCAGCGGCGTGTCTGGAGTGTATTTTTTGGCTGTGACAGACCTTTCTTTGTCTCG